ACTGGCTCTCCCTTTCTCTCCACATCCGCAATGGGTACTGCTGGGAAGAGAGGCTGGGGGGGGGGGGGGGGGGGTGCAATGGTTTTCGGGCCAGTCAACCTCTTGGAGTGTTAGTTAGCTGCGTACCACGACCACGCAGCGGGCGTCTCTTTATTTGTCTGCCAGAGAGAGAGAACTTAACGGAGATGGTCATAAGTAGAGTAGTCTGCGGACTGTTTCTGCCTCCTGTTGCACTCCTTGCTCGATGCGTCCATCTTTTCGGGTCTTTAGACATATAATATTCCCTCTGCTTTCGTCACTCGCTTTCGTCAACAGCATTAGCAAGTAACAGCAGCAGCAGTCAGAAGCACCCAAGCACCAGCCAGCTATCATCCATTAGCTCCTTCTTTCAGCTACTGCTTCACTACTACTGGTAAGATAGCTTGCTTGCCCGCCTGGTGCCCGCTGCCGCCCTCATTTGTTTTGTCGAGCCCGCAACTAGATTATTTGGAATATCACAACTCTCCCATCTCTTGGGTGGCCGTGTTTTCTTCTTTTCTTTTCCTTACCTTCACAGCCCTCATCTCCGTCATCTCCATCTTCTCCGCCCTTTCTTGTTGAAATAATACGAGTGCGTGCGTGTGTATAAGCACAGGGTACCTCATACATACCTCATACTTACCGGGTAGATCCATTTCGTGTGTGTGAGCCCGGAGGTTTGCCTGGATTCCGAGGATTCCAAGATCTCGAGCGAGATCAGATCGGAAAACCGTATTATTGCTACTGCACTGTTCGAGTTACCTCTGGCTGTCGGTCTGGGTGCCTGCAAGAGCCTCTACATAACATATCCCACATATCTCGACCACACATACATACCAGGTACCTACCCACACCTTCTTCTCCCCATTTGTCCTCCCCTCCTCCTCCTCCTCTCTTCTACTCCTTCTACTCCTTCCGCGTTCCAACCACCCCTACTTCCACTCCCCCCCCCCCCCTTCCCCTACCTACTCCAACACAGTCGCTCGAGCTTTCCTCCTTGCTCCTGTTTGGGCCTCGACTTCAGCTCTCCTGTTCCTCTTTCGGCGCCACCACCATTTATTAATCATCGCCACTGACTCCTTCTCCTAACTCAAGTTCGTACGCATAGCCATCTCTTTCGAGTGTCTCTCTGCCTCGTCGTACATATACCGTGACTGATCGGCTCCCACTCAGCTCTACCCACTACCCAAATAACAGATTTGGAACAGAGTCAAATCAGCCTGACATCTTGATCACTCGAATTCTTTACAACTCTCTTTGAATACGTGATAAACTACAATCTATTACGGTTTCAATAGTTGTCACCGGGAACCCTTGACAATCACGCTATTGACTACTTCACACTAGCTACCCCAGCTTGACCAGCCTCGTCTTGGACCACCACCCTAGCCTTACTACTACTACATACCAACCCCAAGCAAGGAGATCTTCAGCCCTCTTCTTGCCTCCTTGACCTCACATCTTCCCATTTCATCCACCTACATCTTTCATCGTGGCACTCAGCGCAGTATACACGCACGTTCAAGAGGTAATTTAAATCAACTCTACAGATTCATTTGCTTATATGATACACTCCCCCCTTGTTTATCAGCATGTTTATGCATGCTGAATATGTATTTACAAATGCTATTTTTTTATTTTATTTTATAGAAAATATCCAAGCTCCCTTGCTAACAGATTGTGATCCTATACAGTCCAGAGACCCTTACTCGTCCTACGACTACCGAGATATTCCTAGCTTTCGGAGCGGGTTACATAACGAAGACGGCCTCCTGGCCAAATCAGCCTTCCCGGCCGGGACCTTGTCGATGTCGGCCTACGGAAAATCTCCCCAGCAGCAGCCGGGTAAGATCTAATTTTGGTAATTATATTCAAAACTTAGCTAACTTATTTATGTTTTAGAGTATGACACTAGACCTCAGAGCCAGCACTTGCCCAACCCTCAATCCTCTTATGGATCATATACTCCCCAGTCCCATTACACAACACCATCACAGCAACAACAGCTGGCACACATTCCTCATAGTCACTCACAATCACAACAGCATACCTCAGCTATAGGTGAAGCTACTTACCCATCACGGGGGTATGAGGAGCATCAGACAGGTCCATTAATACCCAGAGTAATGGGATATACTCCTCAGATTGGAGTTGAAGGAACACCATTTAGCGTTTTTCTCCACTGCCCCACAGATTTGACTGCCGACTCCAGACAGTTTAGATTCATGTTTGGTTCACGAAGGTGCAACGCTACTATTCACAAGCACGAAGGGTCCGGAATGTATCGATTGTCTGGCGAGACACCCGCTTTTGCATTAACGGGCTGGGTAGCTCCTCAAGTTACGGTATACATGAACATGGAGGATGAGGAAGGGCAAGAGTTGGGGACTGTAGATGTCGGCACCTTCACATATACAGATGTAACAACTCAGCAATCTTACAGCTCACCGCCTCGAGCAACAAAACTCAAGCGCAAGCTCACAGCTGAACCTGAAGATTCTACAACTAGGAGCCCCGCAAAGCGTTCCACTCAACCAATAAGACCAAAGAGCGAAGATTATGGTTATGGATATCAGCCTCAAGGACCAGGGCAATACCCGCCTTACGCGTCTCATGCAGGTACAGAGAGGGCTTACGGTATTTATTCTGGGTATGATCATCCTGAACAAGCAACACACGCTCCTGGATATCAGCCACAGACATCACCCCCACGAAATTATACCTATGGTTCGTACTCTACAGACGGGCTTCAACAGTCAGCTACCCAGCCAGGGCAACCATGGGCCCAGCCATACCCTGTACAACCTTCCGGCGCTCAGGCATCCACAGTACCACAATCCGGTAGACCTATCAGGAATGATGGCCCTCCGGACCAACAGCCTCCTTCGTTACCTTCTCCATCAAACACACCAAATCCGACACTTATCAGAACCTCTACTCTTCAGCAATCAACACATACTGCTCCTGGAGCAGTTCAAGGAGGACCCAGTGGAACAGGATCCGGTTTTAACCCATATGGAATATACCCCCATAAAGCTCTTCTTGAGATCCAAGGAGAATTAAACGACATGGCACATAACTGGACTTCAGAGGAGTGGGACAATAGGCGACGACTGGTGCAATTTTGGCGACGACAGAAAGGAAGTACGATACACACAACCTTCCGCCCTGTTGCACCAAACGAAAGGCAGCCAAATAGTATCTGTATAAGTTGTATTTGGTGGGCAGAGAAACGAGAATGCTATGTCACCAGTGTAGACTGCATCTACTTGTTGGAATCTTTGATTGCTGTCCGATTCACAGTGGAGGAGAAGAATAGGATCCGAAGAAATTTGGAGGGCTGCAAGCCACTGACGGTTTCCAAAGCCAAGCCTGATAGCGAGAACTTTTTCAAGCTTATCATGGCTTTCCCGAACCCCAAACCTCGCAACATTGAGAAGGACGTGAAAGTATTCCCATGGGCGGTTCTAACCCACGCCTTAAAGAAAATTATTGGCAAATACGTGAGTAAACCCAGATACTGCGTGCTTTATTCTCTTACTGACTGTTCCCGCAGTCTGCCAGTTACTCTTCAACAGCCTCAGTGATTCCCGCTGTTCCTGGAGGCTCTGCATACCCTGGAGGACCAGGTGAATCCACAAAATCGGGCCCTTCTGATGCCCCTCCATCGCGTGTGCCTTCGCCCCCATCTGCAACAGATTCCAAGTCGTCTGCAGGCCCTTCAGCTTCAATAACTGGCACTGCTGGCCCGCCCTCCCTAAAGCAACCACCTCTGACGACTTCACCGCCAATACAGCGCACTAGTGGTCAGGATTTGCAGCCTCACACGGCTCTCCCACCACCTTCGAGTCAGCATGGCAACATGTGGCATGCGCAGCAACCGCTTGCCCCACCTACAGCTGGACAACGCAATTGGGATATGGCAGCCTACCTTGAAGCTAATCCCACAGCAGCAAACCCTGCAGGAGCGCAGGTTGTCCACTACTCACATGGTCCAATAACATCCGAAGACAGGGAACCAGTTTCCGGAAGTGGGCCACCAGTGCAGCTACCAAGTGATGTTAACGTTCCTTGAGAAGTGTCGTGTTTTGATTATTGGGGTTTGAGCGTTTTGGCGATATATCATGTTTTCAAGGTCCGATTTTTATTTGGTGTCACGCTACGACGGTTACTTTGGCTTTCGTTCCACCACATTGCATTTTATTTTCATTTGTCGTTCAGCAGGATTCGGGGCACCAGGCGCACATGGATATCCAACAAAAGGAGCTATGGCGGCGTCGTAGGGTTCCGGAGTCTTTATCGGGGTGAGAGTGTGTAGGATTTAGAAGAGGGACTAGTGGAGAACTTGTTACGAGAATGGTCGACGATACTTGAGCAGCACATCTTCATTGGATTTACACCACAGATACTTGGCAGCTTGTGTAAAAATCGACCCTGTACAGTCACATTTTCATTACTTCATGGATCAAACACGGCCTTTCGGCAACGAAGCTACATTCCGGGCTGGATTTTCTTTTCTTTTCTCAAATTCCATTTTCAAAAAGAAACTTATATCTGTCGGTTATATTTTGTGCCTCCTGGTTTCTTTTCTACTACACTTTAACTATATTTCTGTCTTTCTTTGACACATGCATGGGTTTTTGCTTCATCACTTGGGCTCTTTTGTTCTTCTTACTTCATCAAGTTTCATTTTGGAATATTTATAGGCGAGTCAAGATACGGTTGTTTATTTCTTTCGATTTTGGTTATTTTGGCCGGTTTGGTGGTATAAGACATCCAGTATTATTATTATTATTATTTATGTACATTAGATTATTTCCTGTTCTCATGGTTGATTTTGGTATGGGTATATGTACGGCGGCCTGATTATTATTTAGTTTTGTATCTCATCATGGTTCCGAAGCCATCAGTAATTTACACAGTAGAGAAATGTGTTGCCCTCAAAGAGTTGATTTTTACGTTTCTCTGTCACTTTTTATTTTTTATTTTTTTCCCTTAGCGACACACAGCCTGCATGTGTACATATTAGGAGCTAGGAATAGAGATGCATGCATGGGGGCGAACAAGGAATTGGGTCATTACGAACCGAACTGGCGGCTCTTGAAATTGAACATCAGCCGGCAACCTGGTTTTCGTCGTTTCATGTTGTTCTAGAAGACGATGGGATGGATTGTGTTGGTGGAGGCCGCGCTTATTACTCTTCGTCTTATGATTCTTTCGTCCCCGGGATGAACCGGCCAACGAGGCTCATTATTTCCCTCTTGTCTAGACTACATACATGATGTATATCAGCATATGCATAATCATGAGCGTCTCTTGTAAAATGAATTAATACATGTATCTTTTTGTCAGGTCATAATATAATCTCGCGCAGATCATGGAGGTCTAGAGTAGAGCTGATCTGGTCCCTGTGCAACCACGGGCGCTTGTCTTGTCAAGTCAGTCACGATAACAAAAAAACAAGCCACAGCCACTAGCACTACAGCCCATTCTAGCAAGGAAGGGATGGGATGTGGAGAAAAAAACAACAACAGTGTGAAATAACACACATGAAATAACAACACTAAAAAGATCCCCAATCTCCAATTTCGAATATCCAATTTATGCTGTTTATATATATATACATACGCGCGCGCAGAACTCCCAGCTAGACTACATGTATCTATATCAACATTATCTCTCAGGCAAGCAAATAACGCAAGTTACGCAAGGGCGGGAACGGGTTTCCCACCCTTCCCCCATTCGACGGACGGGCTCCCCCGCATTGAAACCCTTCACTACAGACCCTTCCCTTCCCTACCCTTCCAGCCCCGCTTTCTCGCTTCCCTCCCTTTCCCCAGCCGCCCGCCGACCGGACTCGGGGCGTTGTAGAGTAGGCATTGTAAATCGGCATGCATGGCAACCTCCGGATCTCCGGTGTTGTTGTTCTTGTTGTTGCCTTTACGCGGAGTTTCAGATTTGGGACTCCCACTTCCTTTGGAAATGGGGCATGCAGGACAGTACATACATACAGATGTGTACGCGCGTGCATAGCACAGTCTACGGGAGGTGATGATGATGGTGCTGATGATGATTATGGGACGGACGATTATTACGGTGGTGGTGGGGTGGGATACTCTCTGCCTAGCTGGGCCTAAATTGCTACTGTAACTGTAAACGATGAACCCTACATGATATTTACGCAAACTAAACCCACCCCCAATCCATACCTGCATCTGCATCTAGCTGGGGCGGTGGGTGTTAGAGTATTTGTATTTCCTTTCTCTCACTTCGGAGATTCAACGACCACAAATGTCCGCCTCGTATTCTATTGCAGAGATCTAGAGTAAGTAGAAAGCTCAAGAGGGCGAACGATTGGCTGGCCGTTGATGCGCGGACGGGAGGCTTGGCCCGGTCGTGCGCCAGACACCGGCGGGGCAGGATGCCAGTTCTAGTGTGCGCCGAATTCTTAGGTCCCCTCCTCCTCGTCCTCGTCCTAATACTACTATTTCTCGAGCTTGCTCAGATCTCTCTGGGTGGGTGTGGGTGGATGGGATACCACTGCGAGAGGTTCAGCTGTGAGGTACATACCTTTAAGCTGCGCTGGTGAATCGTGATTGCAGGGAGAGGGAAGGAAGTACCGAAGTGCACGGGAGGGAAAGGGAAGAAGGGAGGCTGCAGTGCTGCATACGAGTTCCCGACAGGAGCTTTTCTGCCTGTCTTGTCTTTGTCTGCCCGCGTAGAGCAAGTACTTACATGTAATGTCTGGAGGTCTGTACAATAATACACAGGGCACATATGAGGTAGTGAGAGCAGGTACAGATACTTTACGAGCACAAGCAGAGTACAGCGTGTATCAGTAATGCTTACACATTCGCAGATGCATGTATGTAGGTAACCTGAGTGTATCTCACCTCACTCATCCCCATATCCCACTCCGACTTAAGGTTATTTACCTGGAACACCCCTCTCTTTCCTCTCTACATGAACGTTCCCCTCATACTCTACTCTTCCCCCGGCTACTGAGACACGTCGTGTGTAGCCTGCTTGCTTGGACGATAAATCCTCCGGTGTGATACATACATACATTAGCACCAAACCACCCTCCATCCAGCCCTTATCTCGCGATTCCCGTGTCTACGATACGATCAAGATAAAAAATCGAATAATCAAATAAAAAATAAAAAAAGAACCCACGGTACCTCCTACTGCGGGGTATTCCGTAAACTAGCTAGCCAGGTATGTAGAACTATGTAGAAATCATTATTTTCGGATCCCAACGTCCGTGTGGTTCGGTCCGGCCGCCCTACTCCGGCTCCTTGGCTGGATTGGGGGGAGGGCGCCGAGGGGCTATGTATGAAGAAACGCACGCACGTGGCTGGAAGGATGCAGTCAGTCATGCATGGAGGTGAAGTCACGAGTGTGGGAAGGGAAAGAGAGATGTTACGCCAAGGTCATCATCATCGTGGTTATGGTGATGGTGAGCGCTCAGTGGTGGTTGTGATCGTGGTGATGATGGTGATTGTGATGGTTGTGGTTGTGGTGGTGGTGGTGTTCTGATCATAATCCATCCGATGGTAGCCTGCCTGCCCCATGCCTGCTTGCCTTGGGCCAATCAAGCTCAGAGATTGGTGTATTGCTTGGGCCGTTGATGTGTAGATTATGTACTCTATGTGTGTAAATATCGAATGTAGGAAGTATCTATACACCTAATCTACTATCTACTGTTTATGATCTTCGCGCCGGTGATAGAGAGACAGAAGGGCAGAGTGCACGCACTCGTATGTTACATTACCTACCGTACCATGCCCGCCTATCCTACATGATACATTGTATCTTGCAAATCTTCCGCGATCTCCACCTTCTGGGCCCTAAGCCTAGGGCTGTCCTGTACATCCGCCGTCGGTAAGTAGAGTAGGGATGCCCTAGCCGGCCTGTCTTTCATTGCTAGCAGAAAAACGCAACAAGCTCCGGGTCTACTCTGCTCTGTTCACTACCCTACACCACGTGTCATACCCAGTTAGCCCACCCCAAATCCACGCTTTGACGTTTGTGATCGATTCCGACTGAGCTTCTCCTTCATCTTCTTCACTCTCGGACCATGTTCTCTACATCATGATTACTCACTCGACGGACTAGGGAAGGTCTGTCCGTCCGTCAATCGTCCCATCCATCCATCCATACCCTCCTACCCCCCCATCATCGCGAGTTGAATAGTAAACCCCCACCTTTTGGTCCCGGTACATGGAGTACTCTGGACCCTGAGGGATGGGAAGTATGGTAGGAGCACATCCGGAGGGACACTTCCGCTTCGTCATGGTCCGAGATTAGTCTAGCAATCTACGCATCCAGCTAGGCTTCATGTGTATATTGCCCCACCGGAAGTTCCCGACGATCTGTGCATGGCTGATCTAGCTAGTGAGTTTTGCCAGTGGAGAAACGGTAACGGAGTGATCTTCGTCTGGCAAATGAATGAGGTGGGATTTGCGCGCAGCCAGCGATCGGCTTACCTACCTACCCACAACGCCCCCCCTGCCCCAATCTTGCCCTAAGAAAGTGCTCACTGCTTATTGGGTTTCGAGGTGTTGAGTAGAGGAATTGCTAGGGTTCAAATGAAAGCCACACATGGCACCCATGGCTGCCTGGCCGGTTAGTGTTGATGCCATCGATCATCCATTCCCCCAGGCTCCACCTCCGGAATCCCTCCCTAGCTTTGTCATGCCGGACCGTTAAGCTTCAGATTTAGATTTTCCACCTTGGACTGTGGTGGTTTTGTCTCTCCTTTTTTCTAGACTATTCATGTCTGCCCTTGATCCCAGTATGCCCTGCTTGCTTGCGTGCGTGCATTTGCGTGTTTGTGCGTTATCTGCGTCCCCCCCATCCCCACCCCATACTATTGCGCGCTTTTGTTTAGGAGACACGTGATTTTGTTTCACGAACAACGTCCATAGGTGGGGTTATGTCAGTCATAGGTTATCACTCGGTAGGTAACGCACCCCCGTGGAGTAGGGGAATTCTCACCGCCGCCCGCCCACCCGCCCCGCACGCCAGTGGGGGTTTGCGGGTTTTCGCAGTCCTCTGCTGTTGTTGTTTTTGTTTTTCGGCGCTTCCCTTGAAAGTGCGGTTTTAGCAGAGCTCGAGGGGAAAAAATGATTGTGCCAATCATGAGGCGTGAAGTGGTCTGTGGTGAGGGGGAAGAAAAAAATTCTGCAATAATCAATGTTGCTTTTTTGCGATTGGGGAGTATGCGTGTTTTCTCTTTGTCTATCTACCGTTGGGAATTTAAAAAGGCAATTGCAATTGTTCATTATGGTCACCGGAAAAATTGATGAGTGGAATTGGAACGTCGTGATTCGGTTCTTCGGGGTTAGTTGTTTATTGTCGGGTATGGCCCTGCAATGACGCTGTAATACTGGTGCTGGTCAACAGGGAAGGTGGCGAGGAAGAGGAATTCGATTACGCATTGGAGTTTGCAATTTGGAATTCAGCTTGGTGTCCTCAGTGCGCGGATACGCTACCTTGCCAGCTTGCATCACTCTGCTCTGCCATTGACCTGCAATGTAGACCCTGTGTTGAAGCAGAGCACTGACCCGTTTGAAAGAAAGTGCTGTTAGATGATGAGGAGAACTGGTTACCCGCGTGATGGGGCGGGTAACAGTATAGTTCAACGTTCGAAATATCGATCCCGATACATCATTTACGTCTTTACCGTCTTTTCGTCACTCAGTCGGTGGCCAATCCATTGGCCCACTTGTTATCAGCATATAAATGCGTGGAGTAACCATTCCACATTGGGAGAAGATGCTAATTCCCGTATATGTGGTTCCTGGCATGTTCAAAGTTGGCTGGCGTAATACACGAGCGAGCCTGACGTACTAGTGGCCACGGTATGTATCAGATTCCGATCCCTATCTGAATGTGGCTTCAACCCCTCTCAGCCTTGTCCATCATCATCCCCTCAGTGCAGTACCTACTAGCTTTGGCTTTGTTAAGTTGCCGAGCGTGGTACCTGCCTAACGGAAGTGCTATCTTTGCTTTCAAGGCTCTGTTGGGAGTGTGAATCTTGCCGGCCGGCCACGAGGTGACAACTATAGTTTTGTAGCAAAAGGTCCGATTGAGTACGGCATCGGGTTCTCTTAGCTCTGGCTTCAACTTTTCACTCAGTTACTCTACTTTTGAATTTCCCAGCTGGTAGGTATATCGGCATATATTCCAGCTAGCTCGGCATATATGTCATATTTCTATCTTCACCCGCGGCATATGTATACATTCCCACCGGGAGAGAACGCTGGATCCAGACCTGTACTACAACTATCCCCCCAATTGCAAAGCACCCAATCCCCTCCTCTCCCTTCTCGTTTCCATTTCTAAACACCAGGGAACTTGCCATCATATTCCTTCACCAGCTGGGCCCGGAAGAAATAACTCAGTAACTAATACCTTATCTCACTATTATACACTCAGATCGCGAGCACCCCATCAAGCATTGTACTGGTTGGTTCACGACTGTTCTCCGCAACAATGGGTGCGGATACAGTAACCTGGAGACGCATAAACAATCCCATCTTGAGAAGCACTCGGAAAGCGGCCTCATTGGACGCTTGTAAACAAGACTGGGAGTGGCCCAGACCGGGCATCTGTATGTGCACGTGATGGGAAGGGATGGATGGACGTCCCCAAATGGCAATGCATTGAGAGAGCTTAAGAGAGAAGGGCGTGGCGGCACCTCCTACGCCGGTGGCTGATGTAGATGAGTGGGTGGATGCGAGGAGATCGATAATGGTGGCTTTTAGTTGGTTTATTCTTTTTTTAAATTCCTTTTTCTTGACCTTTTATTCAGCCTTGCATATAGTGGGAAAAAATAAAAATAAAAAAAGGGTGAAAATGTCGGGAGCCCCCGACTAAACTAATAGGTAGGTATAATTGACACTGCCGTGATGTGATGATGTATGTCTTTTGTTCCTGCATATATAGTGGTTTTTCTTCTTTGTTGGGAATTGGGGGGGGATATCGAGACCTTTCTTGTCTCGAATCGTGAGATTGCTGTTGGTCGAGGAATCGATTCGACGTCGACATTCTTCACACTCCACCGAAGTTCTGCTATTATCGCACCGCACTGCAATAGGTACACAAAAGATCGTGCTGCATTGAAGATGTGGCACAGGAGACCAACCAGATGTCTTGCTAGCTTGAGCTGGGTTTTTCTGAGATTTAAGGGTTGGTGAAGAATATGAATTCAGTCTCGTGATAGACGTATGTAAAGCTTGCTTCGCATCGAGTGGGTGCGAACAAAACAAAAAAAGACCTACGTACAATGTATTCTAGGGTTGGTGCATTGATCTACAGTTTTGGTTTTGCAATTGCAACAAATCTGTTCTCCTCTTAGGCCTCCCTCCAAGGTAAAGCAGAAGATAGGCAAGGCACGTAAGGGTTTCCCGCCGATGCTCAATTGAGTTTGCAATTGCGATAGGAGTTACGTATGTTCACTTACACCGCACAGAGGTCCGCTATCTGTTTGCTTTTGCGTTGCGTGAATGGGTTCTTCCTCCCCTAGTTCTCCGTTTCAAAAGCTCCAAAGTCCGATTCCATGGATCGGTGGTTTCGTGGGCTATCTATCTATCCTAGCCTGAGGGCCCACATAGACAATTGCAACTGAGGGGTAAACGGACTGATGGATGGATGGATTGATTGACGGACAGACGGGTTTTCTGCCCCCTCCCCCCCCCCCCTCTCAGGTTTCCCCAACACCCCAACTCCTGGATCGACCGGGTGCTGATCAGAAACGGATTCAGAAGATCTCAAACAAGCTACCGTACCACACACGCAAGGGGCTGAAACCTCTTCTTTTGTTTTTTTCCGTTCGTTTATGAAGAAAAAGAAACGAAGAAGGGGAGAGCCGGAGGGCGGAGAAGAAGAAAAAAGTAAATATGGGTGGGAGCTGATCATGGTGATGAGCGGGGGGCAGATAAGAGTTCCCGTTGACCTTTTTCCTCCACCAACACCCGAAGTTTGGACCCCACGAGGCGGTGCGCTGGGCTGGGGGGATGTACGATATTGTTTGGTAGTACAGTGGTTGGGGGAGGTGGTGGTGGGGGTGGCCGGGATGGGGCTGGGCCATGGGGTGGTTTTGATCATTGACCTGTAATGGATGTTATGAGAGGAGGTTTCCTTTGTGTATTAAAAGAAAGTTAAGGGTTCTGTAGATAAGAAGGTTGGTTACATGTAGGTAGGTACATGTAGGTAGTTGACTTGTTCAGTGTTTCATGAGGTGGTTGAGTCATGTGATTGCGAGTGAAGCGAGTGATAATTGATGATGCCAAATAAAGTGATAGAGATATTGGGAGTTCGCACTCAAGTACTGGTAGCAATGCAGATGACATTATTACTACTGTAACTGTTATCCTTGGTGATCAAGGTACATGTTGTCTTGCCATCATCGACTGATGAATGTATGGCATCTCGTACAACTTGATCATAGATATGAAAATAGTCCCTGGTTTATTCATTATAGATATAGAGTTGCTGGCTCTTTGAGACATACCAATTAAATTTCTGCCATTCAATAAAATTTGTTTTTTACTTGCATCAGATAATATTCGAATCCATGTCCCTCATCCTTCCCATTGTGGGAGATTGATAAGACGGAACCTTTCTTCTACGAAGACTTATGACGTGCCGGCCGAAGATGCATGTAGGTACGTGATATTCGGGCAAAGCACATAGATGACGTAGTCCAGCTACCGCTCAAATAGCCTTTCTTCTACTCAGTTACCCGCTCCTTCTTAAACCAGCGCCGGGCTAGCTATCAACGTACGTTCCAGTCGACAGAACACACTTGAATAGGATCTATCCAGCAATGGATCGAAGAGTTGCCGGATTTACATCGGATTCTACTAAACCAGCGGAATATGGTGGCTCTATATATCCTGAAAACTCAAGGGGTCTTTTGTATCTGTGCCTTCTTCACTCTGCCTTCTGGGCCAGATTTATCCTGGAAGTTGTTTATCTATCCACGATTTATGATCTATCCCCACCATTTCGCAGAGATGGTAACCAATCGAGGACCCAGTCCTCTCAGAAGTAATTTAGTAGGACTACCCAGCTGTGTAGCGGGTGGTTTTAATCATTGGGGGTCTTTGGTAGTTTCTCATCTCCGTCCCACTAATTCCCCACTTACCACGGCCCCCTCCCCTCCCTTTACCTTCACTCCTCTGATGCTCGTGGAAGGGTTAGGGGCGTACCTCATAATTGACTTCCATTGCTAGTATATCATGCTAGTGAGCTCTGTGCCACCTCTAGCGCTGGCTTGTGGGTTTGTGGTGGTCTCGCGGTCGTGCCCGGCCGTCAGCTTGAGATGATATCTCCTCACTTGTGTACTAATATACAAAGCTAGCTCCGGGGTAAAGATTGGTTTAGATAGCCGTAAACAACCGTGCTACAACCCTCACAGCCCCCATTGGACATGGGTTAGAGAGGGATCTACCTTTTCTTTCAGTTTCGTACTGCCCAGACTGTCTTGCGTCGATATTTGCACAGACAAAGTCTGAGAACGAGACTGGGTTTATGAGTTCCGTTGTTTTTCGGTTGAGGTCCCAACGTCTAGGTCAAAGATGTTTTAGACACACCCGGCCCTTGAGGCTTTTGTCTTATCGGCCCTAGCTTTTTGACACAGGTTTGCCACAAACCCTACTTGTTTTGCTACATAGGCTTAAGCACCCCGGATCTCTCGCTATGACATGGAGCACAGACGCCGAGGGCCATAGATCCTTGTCTCACACACAAATAACTCTTTCTGTCTCAAGTATTTTTATAGAATGGAACCGCTTCCTCTTGTGTGCGTGTTGCGACTTGTGCTGAAGCAATCATCAACTTGGTGAGCTCCTAACGCGTGTACGTACTAGTCCAAGGCCAAGATATATTGCAGTATCGCCTAGTTATACGTACGTGCGCCAGATGCCTAAAGCGTCTGGAAGGAACTCTGATACAACAAGCTGTTGCCTGTTTACCGAGTAATGTGACCACAGAGATTCAACCGATCAATCAATCGATAGGAGCAGAGAAGGATTTAGAATTCACGAGTGATCACTCATGATTCATATACCAGATGGAATTGGCGTGGTGAGTATATCCTCCCACGTTCCAATACCATATATATAGCACCCTTTGTATCAAATAAGAGGTCCTCAATATATTCGAGCACTATAATTTTCGCAAGAAATTCATGTACAGAGGTTCTGTAGCAAGATCCCCGCATATTATGCATCATTGCATGCGAGCCAGAGGCTAATATCTGGGCTCGTTGTTTATTCAACAGCTCTTGTAGCTCCTAAAAAATGGTTGAAATGCTATTATCCCCATACAAATATTTCAAATGACTTGCAATTCCTAATATATACTCCGGTGGCCCTAGTAATGTGTACCAAATGGCCTCTTCAACCCCAATATTTAACCAAGCCCAAACCCAAATACCACAATAATAAAAGACAAAGACAAATGAAAAGTAGTAATGAACGAATGAGTTAAACACTTACAAAGGAAATTTTGCGATTGGTGCAACCATGTGATATACGAAACGTTCTCGGTCAGACAAATGTCCACCATGAAAAACTTAATGAACGACAGAGTCCACAATTTGAACTCGTAGTCCCCTCATACCCCTAATTCTCATACTCTCCATAACTTCTCTGCTGCCTTTAAAATCACTCTACGCCTTATACAGTGTATCAACAAAACCAATTGCCATCGAATTGATGACGCTTTTGTTTGGCAGTCTTCCCGCAACACCATAAAGAGCCGCAGTATCTCCTATCGCTGCCTTCGAACCCCCGCTTTTCTCCCCTCTCAACTTCACCTCCTTCACCGCCTTCTCGAGATCCTCCAAAAACTTTCCTGTTGCAGACACGGTTGGTTTTGTGCACGCGATATGGATCGCCGGTGGGTCTTGTAACGCATTCAAGTGCCATCCAAGCGTATTCATCTCATCTGCAACCTCATAGATGTTTATGGTCTTTGATGAGAATGCGACTACGGATACCATAGGCTCCCCTAATATATAAAGATCAGGGCTAAGCTTCTCGCGAATGCCAGATTCAATTGTTTTTGCGGCGCCGACAATATCGCGGCAAGAGGCAGTGTACCCGTTTTCACCTTGTGTCATTAGTGATACCCAAGTTCCGGCAATGAGACTCCCAGCGCGAGACCCCGCGAGGGTGGGCGAGGCGTAAACGCCACCAGGCCAAGTAGCAGTGATAAAATATCCATATGCCCTGAGTTTCTTGGTACGGAATAGGAGTACACTATTACCCTTAGGAGCAAATCCATATTTATGCGTGTCACAAGAAATCGATGTAACACCTTTGATCCGGAAGTCGAATGGTGTAGTCGGGAACCCGGCCTTTTCAAGGAACGGTACGAGGAAGGAACCGAGGCAGGCGTCAACGTGAAGTGGAATACGACGGCGAAGAGCAATCTTGGAGAGCCCCGAGATATCGTCGATTATTCCGTGGGGGAAATTGGGAGCGGAGCCAACGATCTGTGAAAAGTTAATATCGAGCGTATCCTAATTATATGCCTATAGTATGCGCTTACCAAAACAGTGTTATAATTAACCAAACGGTTGACGGCCCTCAGATCTACCTTAAGAGTAACCGGGTCGACAGCAACGTGGTGCACAGTGATTCCAAAGTAGTGACCAGCCTTGTCAAATGCAGCATGAGCAGTGACAGGGACGATCATTTCAGGTTCTGAAACACTCCGTTCAACATATGCTTTAGTCCTTGCAGATAGACAAGCCATCAAAATACTCTCAGTGCCACCGCTAGTGGTGATACCTCCAGCAGTAGACGGCGCATTAAACATAGCCAAAACCTAATCTTATGTTAGGAAAACACTATGATGTCATCGATATTGGGGCGGTTATGTACCATAGCAACAATCTCAGCTTCCATTTTCCTGACACCTGGGAAAACATCCGGGTGTAAAGGGTTGGAAACAGAAAACATCCTGTATGCCTCACTTTGTAGATTTAATAACTCGTCACCGCCATGATAGACGGCACCAGACACATGGCCACTTTCCCATGAAGTATGTTCCATTTCACTCAATCTTTACTGTAATATCAGCAAAACCTCATCATAAAAGCGACCCAATGTATTTCTTACTGTTTCAATTCTTCCTTTGCTTGCGTTTCTGTGAAGCCCTCCTTAGGCAACGCAAGATATCTTGTCACACCGGGTCCCTTTGGTACAAGCTTGTCCTCCAGCTTTTTCAACGCCTTATCTACCTCTGCCTGGACTCCCCCTCTGACCCCTGGTGCGTTGAGGAGTAGTCCATACGCATATCTTCGCATATATGCATATCCATCGGAGAGGGTACCAAAAACACCACGACCACGAAGTTTTCGAACTGCACGTCTAAAATGGCGGAGGATGAAGTAGGCGAATACAATATTGCGCATTCTAGTCGTGTTAGTAAACTATAGCCGCTGGAGGAAAGGAGTAACGAACAGATCGAGATTAAAGATGAGATGCGGCGACTTCCTAACGGCCGCGGTCTTCGCAGAGGCAAAGTTCCGCAGCGAGACAGGGACACGAGAGGAGCCTGCCATGATTAACAGTTCTCTTCAGTGGTGGAGTTCAACTCCTGAAGAATGCGGTATTATTTTCGACTCTTGATGTCGATGTTAGCTGGCAGTAGTTCGTTTCCTCGAAGCTGGGCAACAGAAGGGTCGACGAGATCAAAGCGGTGACATGTGCTCGTACCACAGGATTTGTATCGTAAGCCGTTGGCTTGTAATAAGTTGTTGCCTCGGTTCCCGGATGGAGAAACGCGTTGCGTCCACACTCGCTCGCTCGCTCGTTCATTCCATAATTCGTTCCAAACCCCGAGAGCTCCTGCCAAATTAAACGAATAGCCCCATGAGAAGTGGCAGTTCCCGCGCGCAGATATGCATGTCCTGTCACTCGTTCAAACGTGCAAACAAATATGTACCCTTCAGAAGCTATTGCTTAGTCATCACTCTACTGGACTTGTGCTGTCAGACTAGGGTTGGCCCGGTGTTACCACCGCAAAGAGTGATTTTGACATGTATGTTTTTAATCCGGTTACCGTTTGATACTTGTAAATAGGCCATTGGTATACAAATTTGGTTGTGAGAATTTGGTTGTGATTAGGCCAAATACGTTTTATGTAGTTGCCAGTAAGCTAGCCAGGCCCCGAATGTCCCTGTTATTGCGATAATAGTACTACATGTACTTTCTAACCGAATCATATCCCATTATCAGTGCTAAATCAGGCTCTAGGAAGTATCAAGTCAGATTCTATGAAGTACCGAACCAGAATCGATGAAGTAGTGATAGTGAAGTACCGAATCAAAATATATGAAGCAGTATTAAATTACTGGTGATGTCGACAATTCTATGGTGGTTGTGGGCAAGTTTGGTGGTCTGACAGTGCTGGATCAAATACGTTACTGGTAGTGATGCCCATGATGGATTCATATATAACTTTAGAAAAGGATTTGCCCTTCATTAGTCGTCCCTGGGCCTGATGAAAGCTGACTACCCCTGCTTGTAGAGTGTGCTGAGAGTTCGTTTGTTGGATGCGCACTTAATTAACCTAGTAGCTTCAGGCCTTCCTTCTACTTCCTTGAATTCCTTCCTTCCTTTTTTGGCAGGTTTTTGGCCAATCAGTACCCGTCATTCGCGAAATTATTTTCGTCCTGACATTTGTATTATCCCTTGGACCGGTGAGACATGCAGATTGCCCGCCTTTCGTTCTTGGGAGGTATACGCGGTGGCTCAGTGACTTCGCCATAGTAAAGCCACAAAGGCGAAGTCACTTAGCCACTGCTTCTACCTCCCAAGAACGAAAGGCAGGGAATCTGCATGTCTCACCGGTCCAAGGGATAGGATATAGGATATAATTTTCGATAGAGCGTACTTTTTACGAGTGTTAATTGAGTTGCTTTCCGGGCGGTGGAATACGGCAAAAATGATATAAAATACGCTGGCGGCCAGACACCACAGTAATTGACACCACGTTCATATCCTACCAGTGTATATCACAGGTAGCGTGAGAGACTGTTTCATACCCCAAATACCGGAGACAGAGGGTAGGTATTCAGCGACCAGGTACTGGTCGACAATCCTATGAACCATGTGATCTCATATTGGCGTGGAGTCTCCAGTGAAATAACCCATAGAACAAGCATCGCTAGTAACTCGACTACTTCATGGATTCTGGCGTAGAGCCCGATTTCACACCAACCATGGAGCATGCCTTGCAATTTTCTAGATGATATTTTTTATGACAGAGAAAATATCGGTGTAGGTTGTTAAATCCTGTTTCCCATATACGGAAAATAGTTAATCCGGTAACACCAGGGTTAGGGTGGGTTGCATACATTGCATCTGCATGAGAAAAAAAGCTAGAAGCTTGGACCATGCATGTGTCTAACCTTCCCCACATTGGTTGGCCGAAAATTTGGGTAACCGCCCAACCCACCACCATAGAGTACAGGAGCCCGTAACTGAAAACCATAGGCGCAACAATTCACAATGGGAAGATCGCAACCAAACATCATTGTCACCGGTACTCCCGGCGTGGGTAATATTCTCTTCCTACAGTATCTACTCCGCAAGAAGTGTTTTCTTAACAGATCAAATGGCATACAGGAAAGTCATCTCACTGTGAACTCATCGCACAGACTACTGGCCTGAAACACCTCTCGATAAACCAGGTTGTCAAAGATAAAGGCTGCCATGACGGTTACGACGACGAGCTTAAAACCTGGATCGTTGATGATGATAAGGTTTTTATTACTTCCGATATTTATTTGGTGCGCTAACTTAGACATTCGACAGCTTCTCGACGAGATTGAAGAAGACGTGATGAAAGGAGGTTATATTATCGATTGGCACGTCTGCGATGTTTTTCCAAAGAGCTGGATCGACCTGGTGGTAGTCCTACGGGCAGATTCGACAATTCTATATGATCGACTTAAGGGCAGGAACTATCCAGGTACAGATCTTTTGGTCCTTGTTTTGTCTGCGGTGAACTAACGATATCGCCACTTTATAGAAAAAAAGCTTCAAGAAAACCTGGACGCAGAGATTATGCAAGTGATACTAGAAGAAGCTCTAGAATCTTACGACGAAGAGATAGTGGTCGAACTGCAAAGCGACAACACCGAAGAAATCGATAGCAATGTGGAAAGAATAGACTCATGGCTGAAGCAGTGGAAATTGGATCATCCGGACGGAGTATAGAATTCTTGTATCAAGTTTTAATTACAACTGGATATATCATAATGGCTTAGAGAGAAAGAGAAAGTCGCGGTTCAGTCTAATACTTCCCTCTACCACCCTCGGGAGCATCAAACTGCCACTCCCTTCCAGTGGCCTTTCTGATACCCATCCCATCACCAGCAATGTTGATAGCCCTCGATTTGACCTCCTCTCCAAACCCATCAAAGAAACTGCCACCTTCAGAGGAGGTATCATGACCACCCATGTTACGACGGTCCACAGGCTTTGGGGCCGCAGATGGGGGAGCACTCCCTCCGCTGCCACCGCCATGCTTCTCCTCAAGCCAAGCAGTCAGTTTTTGAAGAGCCTTGAAGCGGTGAGAGATCTTGTTCTTTTGGTAGGAGTCCATCTCCGCGTAGCTGCGAGATAGTTAGATATTACTCAATAAAGGTACGGTATCAGTAAGCACTTACGTTGAACCCTCATACTCAAAGATAGGGTCCCAGCCAAAGGAGCCCTCGCCCCTTGCCCTCACGACCTTTCCCTTTGTCCTGCCCTCAAAAAGGATGGGCTCGCTGCCAGGCTCGCAGTAAGCAAATGTGCATACGGCCTGTGCTGTCTTGTCATCGTAGGCTGCAAGCATGTTGGTGAGGCCTCGAGTGCCGATCTCCTTCAAGAAGTGCTTGCTAGTAAATAGTTAGCATCTTCACAGCATGCTAAGGGCTTCTCTAGAGGAATGTTGGAACGTACACATATGGGCCTGGAAGCCCTTTGAGAGCATCGAAGCACAAGCAGGTGTCCTCGACAATAACTGGGCCACCGATCTGATTCGAGTCGTTAGTAATCCGCACAAAGTTTTCCATCTTGCATCCATTCGAAAGGCAAACGGGGTAGAAACCTGTTCTGCGGCGCGCTTTGCCTTATCCCTTGTGATTTCCTCAATAGTCCCCTGAATTTCGGTGATTTCGACGTTCTTGCTCTCAAGATTCACACCGCTGGCACTCAAAATTGCCTTGGCCTCAGCAAGCTTCCCAGGGTTTGAGGTGACGAAGAAGAGAGTTCGTGAAGACATTTTCTCGTTGGGTTATTCGTGTGAGTGATGGGATTGATGAAATTGTTGTTGTTGTGATGAGATGGGTGAAGGAATGGTGGAAGCCGACGAATTAATAGTGAATTTTGAAGGGGTTGAGGCTTAAAGTTTAAGACATTTTCCTCTCTTGGACTGATTGTGCCAGCTCAGAGACGGGACCATCCGAGGGTCCGAGAGAGAGAGAAGCGGGATTCTTAATGCAGGTCTCCAGTGGCAAGTGCTGGGTGCACTTGCGCTGCAGGGTGGGGTCTACCGTCTACTCTACATGATCTAGGTACATACTTCGAGAATTTAAGAAGAAGTCCAACTTACAGGGGGGGGGGCTAGAAGTTGGTGGTAGCAAAAATTGCTTGTCTACATGTACTTATGTCAGATGTCGAGTGAAGTATAAAGTGAGAGTGATATACTATGATTCATCTGTTGGATCCACGCGTTTTTTTTTTTTGTGGGGAAGCAGGGCATTCCACACATAACAATAGGATTGTATCGCAACGCGTCACCTAAATGAATTCTGTGACCTCGACGCGTTAACCTGCGACAAATACAGCCTCATTCTGAGAATCACGGAACCTTGATACTAGACCAGCCCACAATCACGATATCTACGAAAAGCTCAATTATGAATGAATACCGGGACTATCTCAAGGATGCTATTATTGTGCAGAAGACTGTGGTTGGTTTTTCTACCCTTTCTAAACCCGTTGAGAATATGGGGATCTAAATTGAATCATCACTAATTATAATGATGAATATAGGTGTCTTACCGAGTCTTAAGCCGAGCTTTGAAAGTCCATGTAAACCAAGCCAAAGAGTTTGCTTATCCTTCAAATAGTTCCAATCCTCTTGTCTAGCTAATGATCTTATTCTGTAGAATGCTATTTGACTTCTACACCTCCGAGAATGCTACCAAGCCCAAATCTATACATGCAACCTATATAGTCACTGGATATCGCAAACCCCAACCTCCTACCAGCACGAGGGGGAGAGAAAGCGCCGATGATGATAATGACACCGTAATGTTCGACAGTTCATTCCCAGGAACTCAAACTACCGTTACTGCGGAGGAAGTAAAGAAGGGATTGTGTAAAGTTATTGAGCTGTGCCAAGAGGAGGAGCTAGAAGGTTAGTATTTTCTTCATTTGTGGGTGGTTCGCGATTGTTAGGTCCAATCGAGAGTAAACTATGCACTAGGTCGCTGGGATTGATAAGCTAACGAACTCCAATTCATAGCGGTTAAGGCAGAGTTAGAGAAGGTTTTGAGTGTACATCTGTACAGCTTAGAACAGGTACGATTAGAGGTTAGTCTTAATGTTATCAATTCGAGTAGTATAATTTTGGTAACCTGTCGCTGATAAGGCTATTTAAAATTATCCAGGATTTTACGATTCTCACGGGATGCTCCGCAAAAGTACTTGCAATCCATCAAAATGAAGATCCTTTGGAGCTTGGAGCTACCTATGGCATTATTTTGAATCCCAGTGCTAAGGTTTGTGATCAAGCTCCTGCTTCGATCGTTGCATACTAACGATAGTATAGAGGACGGGTAATCGAGCTCTTCCATCGGTATCAGAGCCAAGAAAGGCAACTATATCTGTTGGCCAAGAAAAAAAGAAAGAATTACCAGCAAAAAAGGATCAAGTTGCAGTGAAAAGAGAAGCCGCGGCGAAGAAGAAGGAGGCCAAGTCAGAAACCAGGGACGACCCAGAAGTAAAGGCGGAAACGAAAGAAAAGAAGCCTATCACAAAAGCGTGCGTTCATTGATCACTGATATGATTCATCACTAAATTATACTGATTCGTTTTATGGTTTTATAGCTCTACATTTCCCTCAACGAAAACCGCCTCAGCTGCTGCCAAAGCTAAACGAGGCCAATCTAATGATCTCTTTAGTTCATGGAAGGCAGCGCCGAAAAAAAAGACCACAGACCCAGTTTCGGAACCCAATTCTGTATGGCCATGCCCTTTCCACCTAATTTATTTGCCGGTCGCCTCAACTAACATTGTACCAGGCTGCACAAAGTCCAAGAGTGGAAGAAGGTTGGTCATTTTGACATCCAAAAATCAATTTAGTCAAATGATTATCGAAATTTTTAGGAAATTATCGCTAACTTGTGAATTTGTATAGAGTCTTCAAAAGAAGATACCGGCGATGACGATGATGAATTAAATAATGAAAAATCCCAATCACCTGTCCACGATGATACGGAATATGCAAGAAAGAGAAAGGAAAAGGATGAAGAGCTTAGAAATATGATGGATGACGATGATGAAGAAGGTAATACTTCCCTATGTAGATTTTACTGATAATTTATTGACTTACTTAATAATTATAATTAGATATTAAAATGGAAGATGACGAAGAACCGCCAGTTAAGATGGCTAAGATTGAGAATCAAGCTGAATCACCCGATATATCCACTGGAGCAGTTGCAGGAGTGATAACCAGTGGTGGTAGAGTGAGGGGAAAGAGAAAGGTGCAACGAAAGATCCAAAGTCAAGACAGTGATGGATACTTAGGTTTGTCCTCTTTTAGTTTTGCATGAGTCTACAACTACTTACCTTCTATACAGTCACCAAAATGGAGCATGTTTGGGAGTCGTTTTCAGAAGACGAGCCTGAGCCACCGAAACCAAAGCCAGTAGTGAAGCCGGTGGCTAAGGGCAAGAAGAACAAAGATAATCAGTCAAAGGGGCAAGGGAATTTGATGTCTTATTTTGCGAAGAAATAAACTGTGGCAAGTGGCTCTCTAGGGATTTGTGCGATTCCGGGATAGGATGCGGCGTTTTATCCTTTACCTATCGTTACTTTTATTGAGGGATGCAATTTTGTATTCTAGTTCGATTCTTGTATTCTACATAGGTGGATCATTACGATTTATTAATTGGGCACATTGGGGGATCTTTTCTGGAATAGATTAAGGATGGGGAATAGTAAAGATCCAACAAATAATACCGTTTCTATGATCTATATTATATCTCCATTGTAATAACGGAACACTAACCCTCATAGTAAATCGCAGTGTATGGATTCCTATGCCTAGCATGTGAAAGTGATTGAAGAGAGGTGAGAGGTGAATATACAAATCTAAAAAAAACAGAGACGATCCCAAACTCCGAATTAATGGTACAAGTACATGTAGTTAGAGCTGTGTAGGAGTTTATGCAGTACAATTTTACATAGATCAAGGGGTCGGCCGCAAGATGCCGTTATCGTCATATTTCGCTTCTATTGATCGAGGATTGTCAATTAGCATAGATGGAAAAACCTCAGTTCTTGAAGGCTGTACTCACTGAAGAAGGTATATGAAAGCGTGACTGTCTCAATTCCTTTCATTTGAGGATCTTCAAGGAAATCAGGATCTATGAAAAAGAAAACCGGCATATCCACCTCTTCTCCTGCATTCAACTTTTGCTCTGTTTTTATTTTATTAGTAACATGATTTCAGCCAATAAATATCATAATTATCAGTGAGCCCACCTTCAAAACAAAAACACTGTATCTTTGAAAAATACGGCGCCACTTGTCCCGGGGTTACGCTATATGTAGCAACACCAATGATATCCTCCTTACTCAGGTTCTTGGCCTTATAGAATGCCAGAGCCGTCTCACCAGGAAGCACCCGGACCTCGCGCTGCTGGGGGGTGAATTTCCACTCAAGCACATCGGAGACCGACGCATTGAAGGTAATACGGAGACGTTTAGCCTGTCGTTGCGGGATCAGTTTTTCGGGGGTGAATCTGGTCTGGTCCGTTATGGGAGTACCGCCAAAGCCGGTACGCTGGCAGATGGCACGGTAGAGAGGGACAGAGGCATATGCGAGTGTCAAAGTGGCAATTCCGATGCTGAAAATGACCGGTTTATTTAGTTTTCTTAATCTTCAATGACTTATATTATTTCATTTTGGGTAGAAAGAGAACATTGAGGAGAAATATGATATATTGAGAAAAGGATATTGAACAGGAATTGATATTTGACAAATAATTATACGAAGAGTGAATTCTCTAATGGTAACGAACCTCGCAGTATAATATAATCCACTCGAGTTTTTTGCTCTGTACTGGTCTCTCATATTCGGAATCTTCCTCGGCGCACCACCAGCACTGGCATTCTGACCAACGGGCGCCGCCCTCGCTGTCAAAGTGGACGAAAAGAACCTCGGCCTCAATTCCACTGCCCGTTTCCCTAATAGCATGTTCGTACAATTAGCACATGTCCACCCCGCAGCCGTAGCTCTTTTAATGAGCGACATCGTATAATAATTCGGAGATTTTTGAACCAGAACCTGGCGTCATTCGGCGCCCACCAAAATCTCCGGAACGGCGGCTGTCCGGGTAACCACTGCGACAGTGGGGTCACTTATGTTCTTGGCAGCAAACAACCGGACCTCACCCGATCTTTTGATTGCCCACATCGACCCATCGCACATCTCCAATTGCCCTCTCTCTTTGCGCTCCCGGAAACACAACCTCTCCACTCTTCACGACCACCGAAAAAATCCGCAACTATGTCCGACGACGAAAGAGAAACCAAGCCATTCAAGTTCGTTACTGCAGGCATGTGGCCGATCGTCCTACAGTTTCCCGGGTTGAGAAGCGAGGGAGGCCAAACTGACATGGTGTGAATTGAATAGGCTTTGACGCTCGATTCCCTCATCAGAATCAGACCAAGCACGCATGTCACCCCATTATGCGTGTTCAATGAGAAATTATACCCCGTATATACTAACATTTATCCTGGATGTTACTAGTGCTGGCAAAACGTTTGTTCTCCGTAACCTGCAATGCCTATCGCGTTTCATGATTCCTTAACTCATATCTGAAGCTAATATAATACCGACTTTCTCCAGTACGTTGACTACTACAAGTGCATCAACGCTAAGGGCGAGGACTTTGCTCCTTGCAAGCAAGTATGCTATTCCCCCAAGGTCCTTTCGCCCGGCTTCTGAATTCTAATCATAAAACTCCAGTTCTACCTTGCCTACCGATCCCTCTGCCCGAATTCATGGATAGAGAGATGGGACACTCAACGCGGTACGCTACCATAGTCTCCGGCGCTGATCTCATTTTTCTAACGAACTAACGTAAAATGCAGAGAACGGAAACTTCCCTGCCAAATTGGACTCTTAGATTGTCTCCGAACGACAAACCATTACTGTATAGCTCTAGGTGAATACGTGAAATAAGATTCCGTGATGTTGCACGGTGTATAGAACAAGGTGGGTAGAGGTGTTTTTTTGCGGCCTATGGAAGGTGATATCAATAAAATATCGAATCCGATTGCATTTGTGGTGATTTGTGGTGAATGATTGCGTTTTAGCCCTCTCTGAGAGTATTTTTGATGAAACCTTTGTAATAAAACATGACCTTGATTGATATTTACCTCCCCCTTTGGTTATGTGGTTCAATAACCTTACGATCCAGAATAATTTCCCTACTATTATGGGCCAAAGCTGGGAGTTATTGGTAGATTTTATCGAATTAGTAGTTGTAGTAAAAGCTCAAAACTGATTTATTTTTTGAGGGTGTATGCTGTCACGAGTGACAGCCCATGATTAAGATTAGTCACATGCTCTCCATTTTAATTCATGGCTTTGAGGCAAGTACCGTCGCCTCAAGGTACTAATAACCGTCATACTATGTGAACCACCAAACCCTCCAGCTGTGAGCTAGTCAAAACCTTTCTCTTCACTTTTAATCCAATTTCAAGCTCAACTACAAGACAAGAGGGCGGTACAACTGATTTATACCTAACCAGCGCACCGGACCAATGGAGTCACCGCAAGCATTTGATCGTCGAGATAAAAGAAGAGAGTTATATGGCCCACGTCCAATGAATCGATCAGGTCAAAGGTCTAGATCACCAAATCCCCCTCCATCCGCTGCCCCTCAGTCATTCCGACGGCTGAGCTACATACCAACAACCTCTTTGCCTCTTGAAAGCATCCAAAGCAGAAATGCAAGCCGAAAAGACGTCGATGTCGGTGAGACCGAAGAAAAAGGATTGTCAATTCCTAAACGAAGTTTACAAGTCAGGGTGGTGAATGCCTCATCGGAATTCATATTTCTTCCATCGAGTGGTGAAACAAGTACTGTTGCAAAGGCTAGTTCACTTCATTCGCATTCACCCATCATACCTTTGTTGAAAGCACAGTCTTCCATGTCATCTATTCAAACTGTTGGTGACTACTCCCGGTATCCACAATGGTCCCAAAGAGGAGCCAGCTCGTCCGAAATTTCTTCAGCACTCCCAGCATTTACCATTGGTAGTGATTATAAGGAAGGACAGTTTGATGATAAATCGATCCTTCATGAAGAAGACCCTGAGCGTGGTTTCTCGTTATATTCTGAGCATGGTGGCATATCACTCCAGTACCCGACAATCGACGAAATAGAGGATGATGATATCCTTCATACCCCAAATTCAAACGAAAAAATCAGATCTAGTTATAAAAGGATACTCATGGGAGTTCTGTATTGCACGATGTTTATTTGCGGCGTTTTTAGTTTGTTTATTGTATGGCCTGTCCTTACTTATACCAGGCTTGCACGGGAAGGGAAATCGGACTTAGGTGGTGAAGGTCAACTTTCCACCATAACCTACCCAATTTTGGGTGCCGCGAGGACATTAATAGACGCTGATACCCCAAAATATGCAATGACACGAGATTCAGTAATGGGGGGTGGAAAACTAAAACTAGTATTCAGTGATGAGTTTAATAAAGATGGAAGGTCATTCGACGAAAATGAAGACCCTTTTTGGCAGGCCATGGATTTTCATTATGCTTCCACTAACGATTTAGAATGGTATGATCCAGACGCTGTGACAACAAAGGATGGAACCCTTCGTTTGAGGCTAGACGCATTCAAAAACCACAACCTTGATTATCGGTCTGGAATGCTTCAGAGCTGGAACAAGCTCTGCTTTAAGGGCGGTGTATTGGAGGCGTCAGTTTCGCTCCCAGGTCCCGCTGGTGTTCCTGGACTGTGGCCGGGTGTTTGGACCTTGGGTAATCTTGGTAGGCCTGGATACATGTCGACGACTGATGGGGTATGGCCATATGCATACGACGAGTGCGATGCAGGCATCACTCCAAACCAGTCGAGTAGCGATGGTTTATCATTTCTTCCAGGCCAAAAATTTGCAAGATGTGTCTGTACAGGAGAGGATCATCCAAGTCCGAGAATCGGCCGTGGGGCGCCAGAAATTGATGTCCTTGAGGCAAGTACTGACGGAAAGCTAAGACTGGGTATCATCACGCAGTCCAACCAAATTGTAAGCTTTCTATCCTTATAAAAGTTATGCACATATCGGTGACTGATGTTTTAGGCGCCGTTTGATATTTGGCATAGGCCTGATATAAACTTTCTAGCAATCAAGAATCCTATGGTTACTCAGATGAACGGATGGAGCGGTGGGCCCTTTCAACAGGCCATTAGTGGTATGCATTTTTGGATTATCTGTATTTGTTGACCGACTAACTGATACTTCAAAGGGGTTACCACTTTGAATAATGAGTGGTATGATGGGAAACAAGTGAGCTTGATTTCTCAAACATCTCAAAGGGGCCAAGAATGGGGGGCTTATCGTCGATATAGTTTCAAAAATATGCGTTTGAGTATAGACCAGGAAAACGTAACGGCAAGATTGCGTGGTTCGTTGGTGACGAAGAAACTTTTAGGATGACAGGTGATATAGTTACATCTTTAGAGTCGGGTTTTTTCATGTATCTCCTCATTAACATTTGCAGGTGATGCAATCGGTCCAAATGGAAATATCGGTCAACGAGACATTTCTCGAGAACCTATGTCTATTATATTAAACCTTGGTCTTAGCACTTCATGGACGTATATTGATTGGAACCTCTTGGGGTAAGTTGAGTTGATAAGATCTATAATTATCACACATCAAGTTTGACCGAATACTTAGCCCTAGATTGACTGACGGTGTAACGATGTACATTGACTACATACGTATCTATCAAGAACAAGGGAAGGAGTCGGTTACTTGTGATCCACGTAAGTTTAGTTATCCCTATATACATCGAGTACTTATTATGAATTCTTCTTGTTAATGTCTTTTATGATCTTTCAGTGGGGTTCCCGACGACTGAGTACATAAAAAACCATCTGGTTGCTTACATGAACCCAAATCTTACGGTGAGTCGTGGTATCTAAAAGGATAGGAAAACAGTATTGATTATTGAAAAACTAGTTGTGGAAGGATACGGGCTATTCGTGGCCCAGGAATGAATTAGTTCCAGGCTGCTAAAATGGATTTGAGATGGGCTGGCGTCCTTAATATTCGCAATAGCCTAAAATACCATTATCACTACTCGCACAAGTAATAGGAAAAAAATGTCTCTAACTTTATGAGAGGTTTCAATGGAATCTATGCGGTACGTTATTAGAAGGTATGTGGAACATCATAAGGTATCACTCGTAGCAAAACAGTGGGGAAAGGCACTTCCAGAACAAGCGAGATTTGACAGGGGTTCCTAGAAACAATCCCAGCAAGCTATGACAAAAGAGTGCATTAATAATTGAGAAAAGGCTTGGCTTATGCGGCTCTCCCTTAGTAATTCAATTGCCCCTCCAAACCCCGCCACCCAAAAAATCTTTCCCCTTTGACTATATGTATTGACTCAACCTCTTAACCATTGACTCAATCTTCCTGATAACTGACTCAACTCTCTAAAGCACATAAACAACAGAAAGACTCTCGTACCCACTCAATATCAGCTACATATACAATAATCATCGACGCATAAATAGACAGCAAACATGGCTCCTTCCGCTGAGCTCAAGCAAGAGGATATGTTCCAGTCCATTGGCAACCAGGTCAACGCCGTCGCCAGTAGCGGCGCAAGCGGCGAAGCTGCAGAAGGTGGCGAAAACTTTACTGTTGACGAGCCGCAGGTTGTGGACAACATTGGTATGTTTTATGCGCCGAGTTCGGTTTGTAGCTATCCACTGATCGCCGTATTTGATGTCCAGAGTCGCTATGCATGAACTGCCATGAGCAAGGCATTACTCGTCTTCTTCTTACACGGATTCCCTTTTTCCGCGAGGTTGTCGTCATGTCCTTTGAGTGTTCCCACTGCCACTTCCGCAACAACGAGATCACCTCCGCAGGAGTCATTCAGGAGCGCGGGTGTTCTTACACCTTCAAAGTTGAAAGCAAAGAGGACATGAACAGGCAGATCGTCAAGTCCGAAACATGCACATCGCGCTTCGTCGAACTCGACCTTGAGATCCCCGCCCAGCGAGGGCAGCTCACGAATGTCGAAGGTCTCTTGTCGCTTGTACTTGAGGACATTGAGCAGGACCAGCCGAAGCGCAAAGAGATCGACCCGGAGTCATACGAGAAGATTGCGCAGTTTGTTACCAAGGGTAGAGATATGGTTGAGGGACGGGCATTCCCGTTCACGGTGAAGGTTGACGACCCGGCCGGTAACTCGTGGATTGAGCCGAAGCCGGATGACGCAAAGGGAAAATGGGCCAGGCACGACTATGTCAGGACACCGGAAATGAACACGGCACTTGGTTTGACAGATACGAGCAAGGAGGACACGGAGAAGTTTGAGGAGGACGATGAGATCAGGCCCGATGAGGTGCACACGTTCCCCGCAAGCTGCCCTAGCTGTGTCAGGCCGTGCAGCACACATATGAAGCTTGTGGATATCCCTCATTTCAAGGAGGTGGTTATTATGAGCACTGTCTGCCATGCTTGTGGATGTAGGTTTCCCGACCGGTAGCGACTTACGGGAAGGTCATTACTGATAGTTTGCAGATAAGAGTAACGAAGTTAAGACCGGAGGAGCCGTTCCCTCTATGGGACGTATCATTACCTTGAAGGTCGAGGACGAAGAGGATCTTGCTCGTGATATTCTCAAGGTTTGTGGGATTCATCGATTCATGTAGTTCGAACTAACTTTCCCAGTCTGAGACATGCGCCCTCACTTGCCCTGAGCTCAACCTCGACCTCACCCCCGGAACCCTTGGAGGACGCTTCACCACCCTAGAAGGCCTCCTCCAGCAGGTTCACGACGATCTACACCAGCGCATCTGGGGCGACATGGCCGAAGAGACCTCCGACTCGGTCGAAAAGGAAACCAGGGACAAGTGGGAGGTATTCTTCCAGGGACTCCGTGACGCCAAGAGCGGAAAGAAGAAGTTCACCTGTATCCTCGACGATCCTCTCGCGGCCAGCTATGTCCAGAACCTCTATGCGCCTGACCCGGACCCGCAGTTGACTATCGTCGATATGGCCAGGACCAAGGATCAGGAGGATGATTTGGGTATCTCGGACATGAGGACCGAGAACTACAATGAGGATGGGTCTGAGAAGGTCCCGAAGGAGGCTGTGAAGGTTTAGGAGAAGGCACAGAAATCGATATCTGTGCCAAATCAAAATTTGTTTTTCTTTTTCTCTTCTTTTTTCTTTTCTTTTCTTTCTAGCGGTGGGAGGCAAATATCAAAAAGTGGGGGAGGGCGTCAACATATGGGGGATAAAAAGTCATACGTAATTGGGACGGGTTTTTTTTTTTTACAAGGATACCTCAGTCTTTTGATGTATCCCTTTGCTTGTATTTATAACAAGGAGGGCACAAAATCAATGGAAGATCGTAACTGCGTCAAAACCAGCTGTTCGCGTGAAGCACGATTGCAATTGACCCTACCAATGATTGAAGTGTGTGATATCTCTCCAGGGTTAGGGTTCCAGCTTGGCTTGATTTCTCATCACGGAGCTGCACTCGACAGCTCCCACGAGCCCCTAAAACATCTCGATAACCTCACCTCTAAACCTCACCTCACCACACCACACCCCACACCCCACAGCTCACCACCACCACCACCACCACCACCACCACAACACCAGCCATGAAGCCCTCACGCCTCCTCCTCCCGCTCACGCTCCTCCCCTGCGCAGCCCTCGCGCAGCACACCTCCAACTGGGCCGTGCTGGTGTCCACCTCCCGCTTCTGGTTCAACTACCGCCACCTGGCCAACGTGCTCTCCATGTACCGCACCGTCAAGCGGCTGGGCATCCCCGACTCGCAGATCATCCTCATGCTGTCGGACGACATCGCCTGCAACCCGCGCAACGCCTTCCCGGGCACCGTGTACAACAACGCCGACCGCGCGCTCGACCTCTACGGCGACAACATCGAGGTGGACTACCGCGGCTACGAGGTGACGGTCGAGAACTTTATCCGCCTGCTCACGGACCGCGTCGCGCCCGACACGCCGCGCAGCAAGCGCCTGCTCACCGACGACCGCAGCAACATCTTCATCTACATGACGGGCCACGGCGGAAACGAGTTTTTGAAGTTCCAGGACGCGGAGGAGATTAGTGCCTTTGACATTGCGGACGCGTTCGAGCAGATGTGGGAGAAGAAGCGCTACCACGAGATGCTGTTTATGGTCGACACGTGCCAGGCCAACACGATGTACAGCAAGTTCTACTCGCCGAACATCCTGGCGACGGGGAGCAGTAAGCTGGATGAGAGCAGCTACTCGCACCATGCGGACAACGACGTGGGCGTGGCGGTCATCGACCGCTATACGTACTACAACCTGGAGTTCCTGGAGAACGAGGTCAAGACGGCGAGCAGCAGCCGCAGCACCATGAAGGACCTGTTTGATAGTTATGATACGGAGAAGATACACTCCACCCCCGGAGTCAGGACGGATCTGTTCCGCAGGGAGCTGAGCGAGACGCTGATTACGGACTTCTTTGGGAATGTGCAGAATGTGGAGCTGGAGGGCGAGGCGGGGGGCAGCTGGAATGAGGACTTGCTGGAGCTGTCGAGGCTGGCGGTCAATTTCACGGTGCCGAGAAGGAATGGGACCTGCGGTGGCCGGACCGTCGAGGTGGAGGAGCAGCCGCAGAAAGTGGCCAAGAGAGAGGGCGCGGTGCGTATCGTGGAGGAGGAGGGGTGGAATCGGAATGCGGTGGGTGTGGGGGCGCTGCTGGCCTGCGCTGCTGCGTGGGTTGCGGGGTCGGCGCTGTCGGCGCTGTAGTGGTGTCCTTTTCTCTTTATTTTGTTTTATTAGGGCGTAATTATCTTTATTATCATTAAAAACATTGTTTCTTTTCTTGGGTTTCTTCTTTTTTACTAGCATTTTGTTGTGGATATCCGTGGTTTCTTTGGGGGGTTGGATATATGTATGTAGTTGTATTTACGGGCTAGAGTGGGTGTGGTTTGGAGTAATGCTATCAAGATGATATCTAGAGGTTCTTTAGGGTTTGATTGATTGTCTATATAACCACCGAAATCGATAGTAATAAGCTCAATACTAGCATTAACCTTGGCGCAATTGACGGGCCCAGATGCTACAAAGCCATACCATTACTACGACTACCAGTATCCGGAAATGATCACACTGCCAGTTTTTCCTACACCAACCACTTCACATTCACACCACAGCACCAACGTCTTTAAAGAATCCAATACCATTTTCCATGCAGCGCACATACCAAGCCAAAACAAAAAAGATATGAAAGAAAAACTACGGATATACTGTACCTGTAAAAAAAAGCAAAAAAAAAAAAAAAAAAGACAAATTTACTGTACACGCCTCTTACTACAAATTTGCAAACATGTCCTCTTTGATTTCCCCCAGCCATTTCCGCGTACACGAGACAAAGTTCCCCAAACAGGACATGAAAAACGCCCCCACGAGAAGTTTAAAGCCAATGCCAATTGCGGGTCCAGATATAAATAAGTACTAATAATTGTTAGTAGCAGCCGAACCGCAGCCGGCCAGCTACCCCAGAAGCGATCAACAGCAACACGTTTAACCGTTCGTCTTGGTGTTCAAAATCAACCTATCCCCCCACAGCACACCCAGTTAGCCCACATCCCACATCCCTCCCCCCCCCCCCCCCTTTCCTCTCCCCTCCCCCTCCACCTCCACCTCCACCTCAGAAAGGAATACATACGCCACAATCAACCCATACAGCCCCAGCACCTCCGCAAAGATCAAAATCAGCACCATGCCCACAAACACCTTCCCCTGACTCATAAACGCGCGACTACCGGCGTTCCCCACAATGCCGATCGCATAGCCCGCCGCCAGCCCGGCCAGCCCCACCGACAGCCCGGCGCCCAGGTGCGCGAACCCGCTGAAGAGCGAGTAGGAGTTCTTGGGGCCCAGGTCGCCGGCGATGAGGACGGCGATGACGAGGCCGTAGACGGCGATGATACCGGACATGATGACGCCTAGGGGGTTGTTAGTGTGTGGGGAGAAGGGCGGGGTGGGGTTTATGGGTGGGAGGGAGGGGGACGGACTGATGAGGGACTTCATGATGAGTTCGGGCTTGAAGGTGCCGACTCCGGCGATGGCGACGCCGGCCTAGATGGTGGACGCGTTAGTGGGCTCCTAGCGGTGGGGCGGGAGAGGGGGGGCGTACCTTTGCGGTGCCGTATGCGGCGCCCATGGACGAGAAGATCATTGCGGAAGCACTGTGGGCTGGTTAGTCTTTGCGTAGGTACCGCCCCATTTGGGGGGGGGGGGGGGGGGGGGAGGGTGTGGACTTACATTCCGGCAAACCCGAAGAAGGGCGCGTAGGGAGGGTTTACCTCTGAGGACGACATTGGGCGGTGTGGTGTGTGTTTCTGTTTTTCTGCTGGTTGTGTGGTTCTCGGTGGGCGTGGTGTGGTGGGCGTCGTTCGTGGGTGTCGTGACAGGTACGGATTGAACGCGGCTACGTAACGGACGGACACGGGTTGTTGTGAGCTGCTGCTGCTGCTAGGAGTGAGTTGGGGAGGGAGGGTAAGTGGTGGTGGGGGGTTACCCGGGCTGCGTCATGGGGTATGGTTCACTGCGCAGTTTGTGTACCGGCGTTCGACCGGGCAGCTGCGTTAACATTAAAGCTCGATTGTTACCGCAGATGAGATGGCCCCGGGACAGCAGAGAAGCACTGCTGCACGAATCAATTGTGTGCAAACCGCACATGAGGATATCTGCATATGCTGACATCTTACACCGCGCCCGACACAAGCACCCCTGACCCTCGCGTAACAGACAGGCAGGAAGGAGCTAAGCTGCGGTATCCATCCGCACCGCACCGCACCCGCACCCGCACCCGCACCCGCAACCACACACAGCTCCCACCGCTCCCACCGCTCCCACACACAGCTCCCACCGCCCCTCCCGCACGATGGCCTCCTGGTCGCCCACCATCAGCCCCGACGCCGTCTCCGAGAACTGGAGCACCGTGCTGCTCGTCTGCCCCCCTCTCCTTCTCCCCTTGCACAATCCCCCACAATCCCCCCCCACAAACAAACAAACAGGCAGACAGCTAGCTAACGTGTGTATAGAGCCTCCGGGACCTCCGCCGCGACGTGCCCATAAACTACAACCAGTACCCCGGCATCGCACTGACGCCGGCGTGCTTCGCGGACGGCAGCTACACGGACGACAAGGCGGCGTGCGTGGCGGACCTGATTGCCATTGGGTATCGCAGCTTTCTGCTGGATCTGTATCTGGATGGGGAGAGCGGCGGGTGGGGGATTTGTCCAGGTGCGCTACTGTTATCTACTGTCTATAGCTAGCTATGTGGAGGGCTATGGGGGAGGTCTACCGGGGGAGATGATCTGACGTGCTGCGGTAGCATCGGACGTGCCGGCGCCGGCGGCGAGCTCAAATGCCGCATCTTCCACGACCCCAACGACCACCCCCGCTTCTACTACCGCCGCCGCATCGCTCCTCCCCCGCCAGTCGGCACAATCCTACACCTGCACGCCCTCCTTCAACGCCACCACCCTCCTCACCATCTTCGACACCTGGATGACCGGCACCAACACGGACCTCGGCGCGCGCATTCTCCTCCTCACACTCTCTCTGCACCCCACGCGCAACACCACCTCCACCACCCCCCCACAGCCGCTCACAAGCACGCTCAAAAGCGCCAACATCCTCGCCGACGCCTACACGCCCACCCTCCTGCTCTCCGACCGCAACAACCTCAACGGCAGCTGGTACGACGACACCACAACCACAAACAACACCTACTTCACCACCCGCTTCGCCGCCGACAACACCGTCAGCACGCCCGACGGCTGGCCCAGCGAGTCCTACCTCGAGTTCAAAGTCGGCAAGCGCGTCCTCGTCGCCTTCGGCGAGCTCGACAACGCCGTCTCCGCCGTCTACGACCCCGCCGCGACGGGCGACGACGCAGTCATCTTCCCAGAGGGCTACATTGGGGAGCCGGTGCCCTACAACGCCTCGAGCACCCCAACGTGCTTCTACAACCCGTCCGACACCCGCATCGCGGCGGGCAACTCCTCGTGGGCGCAGGCGCTCTACCGCGCGCCCGCAGCTGCAGCTGCAGCTGCGGCGGCGAACATCACGGCGCTCATCAACTGCGGGTACTCGACGCTGCTCGACTCCGTCGGCGCCGCCAACACATCATTGGAGGAACGCTTCCGCAGCTACGAGGCGCAGATCCGCGCGACGGCCGCGTGGGCGTGGGGCGACGACGAGCCGCAGAACACGACGGGGCGCAAGGCGTCGTTCCGGTGCGCGGCGATGCGCGTGGCGGATGGGAGGTGGTTTGTGGCGGACTGTAACGAGAGTCGAAGGGCGGCTTGTCGTGTTGGGGGGCGGCCTTATGATGTATGTCTTCCCTTTCCCCCTTGTCCCCCCCCCCCCCTCTCCCCCAAAAGCCCCGAACCCCTCCACTCTCCAAGGGCACCTAGCTAACGTACCCAACAGTGGACACTAACACCCACCCCCCTCCCCTACGCCCTCCTCCCCCCCTGCTTCGCCGCGCCGCGCACGCCGCTCGAAAACACACACCTGCACAGTCTCCTCCGCTCCACGCTGCCGAGCACAGCCAGCGTGTGGCTAGACCTCAACTCGCTCTCCACGGACTCGTGCTGGGTTTCGGGCGGCGCGAACGCGCCGTGCCCCTACAAGCTCGGCGACGAGGGGCGGCGCGAGGTCATTGTGTCGGCCGTGGCGGCGGTCATCGTGTTGGTTGTGTTTGGGCTCATGTGGTTTGCCAAGGGGGCTAGTTGGAGGGTGGAGAGGAGTCGGAGGAAGAGGAGGAGGGCGGTGAAGAAGAGGGTGAGGGAGGGGGTGGAGTATGAGGGGGTGCCGTCGTAGGTGTTTTGGGGGGGGGGGGGGGGGGGGTTGCTGGGGTCTGGGGGCGGATTTTTTTATGGGGTGTGTTTGGGGTGCGGAAGATTTGGGGGTTGGGGGGGGGGGTGGGGGGGGTAATTGTAATTTTATGTAATATATCACGAGTGTTAGGTTCTCGAGTACTTATAGCAGTAATACAGTAATACAGTAATGCGGTGCCCGATATAGCGGTCTTTGAAGAGATTTAAATTCCAATACCAAAAGCCAACCTCCCGAAAAAAACTACTCTATAGTACATCATAACCTATGCAAGAACCTCTCCTCCTCCTCTTCCCTCCTTTCCATTACGACAGCCACATAACCCAAGCACACAAAACACAAAGCAAAGCTAGAATAAAAAAAAAAAAAACATAAGCCCAAAGTCAACTACTACCAACACAAAACCTGGTCCGGATTTTGGATCATGAGCCATCACTCACCTACTATCACATCTTGGCACGCATGTGGTACTGTAACTACATCCCGGGACTTTGCATCACAATGCTTGTCTGTGATTGGTTGGTCGGCCGGCAGCTTAACTACATGTACATAGTAGTAGTAGTAGTAGCCATGTGCCCACTACAAGAGTCCCGGGGTCTGGGCATGGAATAAACATTATGTAGTCTCGTGTCCGTCTCATACTATAGCCAACAGTTTGTAACATAAACAATCGCAACCCCCCAACCCACCAAATACATCCCGGATCCTATAGCGTCCACTTTTCTATCGATCCCTCCGACCCAGCAATCAATCAACCAACCAACCCGAAGAGCAACGGAATCGTGGGCCAAATAACCAAAGCATCCCAGCAAATCTACATGTATATAGGCCGTGTATAAAAATCCGGTGCCAAGCACAAGCCACCCAAGCCCAAATATTGCAACGTCAACCCTCAGTGCCCGCCCAATTGTTTCAAGACGATATGTAGCTATTGCAGTAACTTTATTTGCCAAGCAAGAATCTTAAAACCCCCGACAGTACGGTAAAAAAATCCACGCCTCTGAAAAAAAAAAAAAGCCCTAGAAGATGATACACACACACATACACACACACACACACACACACAACTGCTATTAAAGTCTGAACGGGTCCGCTGGGTATTCTTTATCATGAAAAAAAAATGTAGTAGTATATGTAGGGAGAGGGAGAAGGGGGAGGGAGGCACAGTGGTGGTGGAGCCACATGGAGAAAGGTATAGGAAGTGAGGGCCATGGAGAGAGAGAAAGAAAAAGAAATTGATAAAATCAAAAGAAAATCCTATTTACAAAGTTAGACATTAAAAACCAAAAAAAAAAGAGAGAGAAAAAGAATATAATAGTGTACAAGTAGCTTCCATGTTAGCAAGGGATGAAACAAAGGTCCGATGGTAAGCCATAGAAAAGGTTCAAGGTGAAAATAAAACGAAATGGGGGCCCCGGGGGGGGGGGGGGGGGGGTTGCAAAAAAAGGAATACTGCAGAACGCCATCCAAAAGAGTCCAACGCTTCGCTGCCATATGAACTTTCTAAACATGAAAAAAGGCCCGTTTTCTGTCCTACAAGATTTTTATTTTCTTGTTTATCTCCAATAGATATCTTCCTCACAGTTGACGCTTCTTGGAGGAAGAGTCGTCATCTCCATCGTCATTAAATAATTCTATTATGCCCGCAACTGTTGGTGGGGCGGTGCTGGAATGAACAATAACAAGCCATCCGACGACGAAATCGACGAGATGGTGAAGTCGGTATGCGTAAGTTACGCCGTACAAGGCGGAATAAGATGCTAATCCGAGGAATAGTATGTTTGTGATTAATCGTATACTATTCGTTTCAAACTTTGGTCAGCGATATTTCGAGGTCCAGAGTGTCTTGAAAACATACCGGTTAGGAATTCTTGGGATCATATTTCCGGTCGTAAGGGTTTCCACAAGCAGTATAAACGGCATAATGGAGAGCAAATTGTGGTGGGATGAAAATGGTGTGAGCCAATGAACTGCTAGGTTATGTATCCATACAACAAGTACGGGTAGGTTTATAGGTAATATCCAAAGCATCATAACAAGGATCGAATGAGTGTAGTTGGAGAAATCTGACGATGACCCAGAGCGTTCAGAGTATCCCTAAAATTTCACGTGAGTTGAGTTACGAGGTGACGCTTAGAGAGAGAAACATACGCTTTCTTTTGCAACTTTCAATGCACGGACGCAAGTTGCGATTTGGACAATGCAAGCAACCATGTAGGCGAACTGGTAAGGAATAAGGGTCGCTACAAAAAACAAAAGCATAAGGGTTGTCATGATCCGTCTTCGTGGGCTACTTGACGAAAACGTCGGACCTATTGAGCGTCTTCTAAAATCAGCTATTTGATCCATTCTGGGACCTTCGCATATATCTTACCTTCGTTCATTACTAACCCAGTTGGGCCATCGAATGAATATTGAATATATGAATGTTAAAACATGCAACAAGATCATCAGTCCATAGTTTAGAACAGCAACCACGCCAACAGCTAATAAAGCAAATAATGGTGCCAAGAACCAAAAGAATGGATCTGCAAGCCCAACCAGAAGATCGTTTTTATCGAACTCCATGGTGGGAGAGGACTGCTCGGCCGCAGACTTTGGCCATGAAAACGGAGATGATATTCGCTTTTCCTGCTCGGCCTTGGCGAAGCCGAGAGAAACTGCTAGGAGGGACAACGAAATCATAACGAATGGTAGTGTTTTATTTATCAATAATTCTATGCCTCTGGTGAAGCTTATGAAACGGCCTACAGTATCCCATTAGCAAGACAAATTCACAGACCGGAAGATTACAAAAAAAAACATACCGCCGTTATTATATTCGGTAAATTGTATTCTAAGGACAAGAGCTACCACAAGCATAGGGAATGCAGCAAAGACAGTTCTGTACCGCATGACAAGTTTTCCCAGGCTTCCGACGAAATCAAACTCAACTGACACATCTATAGTTGAATTGCAGGTTGGGTCTGTCCAAAATTGCAATGACAATCCCTTCTTATTATTTGGGCGGAGAGCCGGAGGTATAAATGGTGCTGTCCCGTGAAGGCTTATGTCGGCCGTGTGCACATTGACGAAATACTTTGATTCATGCGGATCCATGAGGTATTGACGGACCAGAGGGGTAAAAAGCTGGCCGTCTTCCCCGCAAGATTGGATACCCACATTTAGCTTATACGTCAGAAGGCTGCTGTGCATTACAGGTATATGAAGTTCAGTCACAATTGGACGTTCGGCTGGCAAAGTTGTTCGAACCCCATCCAATAACAACCCACGTAGACCGACGTTTGATTGAACACTGGCATCCTTCTTCTCGATGAACTCTGCAATTACCCAACCTTGTGATACTCTACTAGCCTTGTCAACAACAGCCACAAACTGGTGCTCAGCGAGGTCCTCAAAATCATATTGCAAAGATGAAAATGGCTGGGCTGAATCAAATGAGTGTTTTGAGTTTCGGTACGATGCAGGCATTTGAATGACATCATCAGCGGCATTTTTGCATGCAAGGCGGGTCGATCCAGAACTGTCTCCAGACAGATCCATATTCATAGAGAATATTGCTGCCGTTTGCCCAGCTTGAAGAGGGAACACACTGCAAAACAAAACCTCCAGCTTTGAATCCCGAACACCATCCAATTTTTGGTCTGTCAATAGTGTAAATTTCGTGGTTCCGACTCTACGAGATGGTGGCACAGGCATCAAGTATGCACGAGGCTTTTGCGATTCACCAAGTTGCCTCAAAACAAGCTTTTGCCCAAGAGTAATGATCGAGTGCGAGTTATCTTCAAGAGTCAATAGTGTAGTAGGCTCTGTTCAAATTAGCTATGAGTCCTGGAAAAATTACCGATAAATAGATATCAAACCTTTGTGCGGTAGTGTTTTCTCGGCAACAGGTTCCATGCCCGTAAGATACCATTTCTTGAATAAATGCATCCTTTCTGCTCGAGGCTTCGTCTGTCCAGGCCTTTTCACATCGATGATATCTAGCATAGACCGGGCAACAACTTTCATGAGCTGATCGCACCAGAGAATTGCCAAATGATCTACCCCAACCCAAACATTTGGCATTGAAGATGTAAAAACCGTAAATCCATGTGTGTCCGGAACTAATGATGAAATACTGGCGTAATCTGAAGGCACAACATTGTCCAAACCCCCACCAGCAATAGAAACCAGAGTAACATGCCATAATGGATTATTGTTTGCCCATTTTTCCGAGAAAGATCTCCGCCAATAGTTGTTTATATCATCGTACGTCTGCACTATCTGTTTATCGAAAGATACTGGCGGCCGAGCATGAGGTGCTGACATGGTGATAATAGTATTGATGGAGTTTGATTGGTAATTTGGCATGATCAACATGGTACGGGCGACTATCCCCCCCATCGAATGGCCAAAAATTATCACAGAACTTGGATCCGGAAGATCCGAATCCATTGTGGCCTTTCGGGAGTCGTGATAGAGAGAAAGAATGTACGCAACAGCCTCATTCAAATATTCGGCCTGGTCGAGCATTGTTTGACCATGGAATGCGGTTATATCTTCATTAAAATCAACCGTGAAGAAATCGAGACCACGTTGTCCAAGTTTCATTAGGTTTTCGTCTTTAGCTGCTGCTTCTTTGAAAGTGCGCGCAGCCTCGGCAGCTATCGGGCGTACTTGCTTGTAGCTACCAGCGTTTCCCGGAATAAAAAGCACTGGCACGCCCTTGGGCTGCAAGCACCTCAGCAAATGACTTGGAACAACTTGGGACCGCGAGCAATCAATTGTGAACGGATCAAATGTATCAGGTCGCCCATTTTTCTTTGCAAACTCGCTTCTTGCATCCAAGATAGGCCAAAGATCCTTCACAGAACCAACACGGAAACGTCAAGGAAGATCTGGAAGCGCCCAAGGAAAAGGAGGAACTTACCGGATAATCGATATCCACATTATGCTCCCGGTATAGATAGAGACTATATTTGCTGGCAAATCTAGTATGTTCCGTGTCGAAATCCTTCTCCCGGATGTAAACAGGGGACATGCGTGGCATCCGACAACCTTTAGAGTCGCATTGAAGGTCTGTAAAGGATGTTATGCTGACCCAGAGGAGGAACGCCGAGAAAAGGATAACAGTTAGTGTTGATAACGAACATAACCATGCCGACCGTACTCGTGAAGACTTGTAGCCCCGTGTGTCCTCCATCCCTTCCTTTGTCAGTGTTGGTGTCGCGTCTAAAGGCTCTCGATCTCGGTCCCGCGGTGGAATCCAGAGAGGTTTTGTAGGGGAATTATGTGCTGTCTTTATCTCTTCGCCTCGGTCCTGGATATTTAAAGCAGAGGAAAATTGACATTCCTCGTTCCCTTCCACCGGCGAGGCCTCGCTGTCTTCACCGTCGTCTGCAGTGATGGAGGGTCTCGAATCTCTCGAAGAGCGTCGACTCCGCATCAATGGCTTAGATATTCGAACCGGGCTCCGTAATAATTAACGAATGGTTCTCCAACGCTGCTGAGTATTCTGGACAGACGTGTTGGTAGCCGGGGGGTAGATTATGTGGGAGAGAGTGAAGGTATCGTTGCCTCAGGAGCTAGGTAAAGGGAAGATAAAGTCAGTGCCAACGTCGTCAGCGTATCTCGCCCAAGAGGATCGACAACCTTGCCCCAGGCCTTCCGGGCATAGACAAGGAACCGAAAAAATCTTGGAAGGGATGAGAGGAGGAATAATTTTGATAGGTACAGATGAATAAACAGAAATATAAACGGACAAAATAGAGAGGACTTACCACGAGGCAGCGAAAAGAGAGACAAACGAGAGCGAGGGCTACCAAACTAGAGGAGAGTCAAGGAGAGATCGAGGGCGTGGTGACGAGGTCGTCACACACGGGCGGCAAAGAACAGGATTGTCACAGAGAAGGACGGGAGAGTTTGGGTAATGAATTGTTCTCACGCCGTAATAGGTAACTACATGTAATAATCTTCAACTTCAGTCAAAATTCTAACCATCATACAGACCCTACATGTATCCTACATCTATAATAGTGTAATCGCGTTTCTGGTTGCCCTGGCTGTTTGCCTGCCACCGTGTTTTTTTTTTTCTTTCTCCCCTTCTCTCCCCCAACGAGCAGCTAATCTCCGCCCGATTGGCCCCGACATCCACATCCACAACTCCTACCAAATTCGCCCAATCTCCCGCCCGAATATATTACTACTAGTATTATTATTACAATGCCTACATACATTTACTACACTTTTTTTCTCCTTTCAATTATACCACTCCCTAAACTATATTAAACCTTCAGGTCGTTCTACAATTTCCAACCTCTAACATGTGCAGCGGTAGAGTACATACATGTGCCTACAGGTACTCGTATTTATTTTTACTCCGAGAAAAACATCAGGTTACGTCTTATATACAGTATACAGTCTCAAGCCTATTCGTGTAAGAAGCCACATAAGTGTGTGCATACATGTAGGTACATAGGAACCTATACATACCTCTTTACCCGGAACCTACATGTACATGTAGATACGTGAGGTCATTGTTGCTCACCAGGTTGTCTTAGAGTAGAAAACACATTAACATCGGTGCCATTTACTTTTGGGTTTTTGGTTTTTTTGGTTTTTTGGTTTTCAACATCGTAATCTCAGGCCAGATCGAATTAGATTAGAATACATCTAGTTATTTAACCTAGAACGAACTTTTATGTGGTATCTGCGCGGTATATATGTCACAGGATTTCTCAAGAAGCTGAATACCCCGGCTCCAGATTGAATATGCCATATTCTGAGGCAAAATCCATTATCCTATTAATTCAAGGTTTGAATTTGGCTTAATAGTCGGTGTCATGTATACAGCACGCATATACGGTCTGTATCTTGGACAATAAAGTAGGTCGGTGATGCATCTTCTCCTCATACATATTTTAGAACACGCCACTGCCAATTACTTTAAGCGGTCCATGTAAGTCATATAAGAGATCTAGAGCATGTATTTGAAGAAGTAAATACCCCTACTATATATACATGTAGTATGCTGGACTTCGATTACACAGATTGTATTGATAAAGGTAAGCAGAATACCGGCATCATAAAATAGCACTCGATTCCATATAAGCATGTATTATCTGATTGGTCTATTATGAACAGCAGTGAAACTGAAGTAAGTATCGTATCAGTCTTGCTATAATTAATAGGGAAGCAGGTCCTCCGCCATTGACACATGCCTAACTTCTTTGAAGACAAGTTGTGTGTATCGCTTAGATACGTGTAAGTGCTTATGTGCAATTAAGTCCATGCACTTATCAAGATCGTCCCCGTTACTCATGCATCTGAGGCGATGCGCATTACAGAGTTTTACAACAATCATCAATACGGATTTGCTACTTCTTGGTACGTGATATGGGAGGTTGTTGGGTATGTATGTGCCATGGGGATTAGAGTACAGGATTGGGGATTGTCTGCTCATTAATGACCAACCAGATTATATTTCCTTTGGTTTCCTAGCATTTCTGCTAAGTGCTTTTCCATTAAATGTAAGGACCATTTCCCCTTTTATTTCCTCCCCCTTCCCGACGGAGTATCTCATTTTCGCCTCCAGCCCCTGTAAAAGTATACCAGCTGCCGAATTCCAGACAAACTGCTGCAATTGACCTCCATCCGCGTACGGTTTGACGTAACAATAGGCCAAGGGTCGCTTGGACAAAAGCATTTGACTTATGGCGCCACGAGTGCAAGATGATACAGTGGCCAATATCCCAATTGTATCCTGGCTTGATGATCCTAAAGCCCCCTCCAACTCGCGAATTTGTGCAGGGCCGGATGTAAGTTTATGAGCCTTACATGAAACAATAATTGGGATTCCCGATAAGTTTGGATCTTCTTTAGGAAGACCTGGTATATCCCAGGTCCCACGTAAGTCTATGCCATGGTCGCCCGGCATACCGCAACGACCAAGCTTCATGCGAAGAGCTGAGAGAGCGGCAAAAACGGTGTACCTTGATGATGGGCACAAGCCTTAAAATCTACAGCCATTGCTAAATAATGTGGATGTAGAAGGTAGAGCAGGAGACCTACTCATAGATAGTTCCAACATATATCGTAGCATCGGGCGTCATAGATACAGACTCTGCATATCGAATGAAGGACGGGATATCTTGGTGCTGCGACGAGGCTTTCGTTTTGTAGAGTCTTTCATGACGTATAAATGTGTGGTGAAAAAGACGATAGGTAAGAAGAGGGGGCCGCATATCTTTTCTGGTATGTTTCCGGAAGTAAGTAAGGAGGTGTTAAAAACTTGGGAAATCGCAATATGGGTGCCTGCCAAGTATTCTTATTCTGAGCTGAGTAAGCTTCATGGGGCTGAGCCCTGATTACTCGGCCTGATTAAGAGTAGTCACCACCAATCATGTACGCGGAATGAAACTGCTTCAAACTCGCCGTAAACCAAAATTGAAAAAAAAACCAAGTGGGGTATTTTTTCCTGTTGCCCCTCCACCAGCCCCAAGCCCTTTTATCTGTTCTATTCCCACACCCACCCTCGATCCCTTCTCTCCTCCTCATCTACATCGTAGTCTCCGTTTAGCCCGCTACTTTCTTTTTCATCTCATTCAAAAAAAAAGTCGCTTTATAATTCTTTCAAGATGGCCGACAACGATGAGCAGGTGTGCATTTTGTTCTTACTCTTTTAATTCCTCCCATGTTTTATTCCCCGCTTCCACGAGACCGTGATAATTTCACTATTTTTCTACCCCGCACAAAACCGCTACTACTCTCAATCAGCGCACATGGAAAGAACCACGAAGGAAGATGAAGCTTTGTTAGACTTGAGAACTGACGTTTGTATTTTATAGCACAACCACACCTTTGAGTCGGCTTCGGCCGGTGCTTCCGCTACGTTCCCCATGCAGTGCTCTGCACTCCGCAAGAACGGGTATGTCTTAGATTCTCCGCCGTTCCTGCATCGATCCGATGTCTCATTATGATATACGGGTATATTGACGTTTCTCGAACCTTCCATAGGCACGTCGTTATCAAGAACCGCCCCTGCAAGATTGTCGAGATGAGCACATCTAAGACTGGAAAGCACGGTCACGCCAAGGTTCACTTGGTTGCCATTGATATCTTCACTGGCAAGAAGCTCGAAGAACTTTGCCCGTCCACCCACAACATGGATGTCCCCAACGTCTCCCGCACTGAATACCAGTTCTCCCACATCGAGGATGAGTTCCTTCACCTCATCAGGCCCGATGGTAGCGAGAAGAGCGACGTCAAGCTCCCCGAGGGAGAAGTTGGCGAGAAGATTCAGGCTTACGAGGATGAAGGCACTGACATCCGTATGTCATTTCCCTTCTTTGTTTACCTTGGATTTGTGAACTAATTATTTGTTTTATAGTTATTACTATTATCTCTGCTATGGGTGAGGAGGCTGCCATCTCCGTCAAGGAGGCCCCGAAATAAGCGCATTTCAACTCTCCTCTGTCATTTTGTGGATCAGTGATCTCGCTTTTTTCTTTTCGGTTCTGTTTTTTTTCTTTCTTTTTTTCCGGGAGCGAGGCTTGTTCATTGGGTTTTCATCAACTCTGATAATTGGAGAATTTGGGTGTGAAAAAAAGTGAACTAAGGCGGAGGTCAATCTTAAAAAAAAAATCGAATTTGTTCTTTTTACCTCGACGAGATTAAGTACCAACAAAAAGATGAACAGAGAGAGGCCTTTTTCAGATATGGTTGGTAGAATAATCCAAAATGTATCTGAGCAAATTCTGTTTCGGTAAATAAGTATTCTCACCACAGTGATAAGCAAGTGAAAACAAAAACTGCTAGACTGGTCAAGCCTTATCAAACTCCTGTTATGCACGTTGGAAACCATGAACCCATGAACCCATGAACGATGTGATGTGCTTGCCGCCGCGGGTTCAATCCTTGTAAAAGGTGGGGAAATTGAGGCTCAATGTAAAGTAGTGAGTGGGCTAATTCTTTTGTTCCGTTCATTCCTTAACAAATCAATCGACTTACCGTGAAATCACAACACTCTCACTCCCTCGTCGTCGTAAAGATGGACTACAAGCGTCTTTCCCGCTGCGGCGTTGATAACTGCAAACAGACTTTATTCTACCTAGATGATGGCCAGTGGTTCTGTAAAAACGGCCATTTAAGAGAGGTAATTTCCCAAAGCTCTACTTTACAAAATCCACACACGAATTTTCATTAAATAATGAGTAGGGTGAGCTCGAAATTGAGGCGGAGAACGAGGGGTTCGGGCCACAGGGCGACAGAGCAGCGAGAAAGAATCAAGAGAAAGAAAAGGTTCAGAGAGGTATGATTTTTTTTAACGGGGCAGCCTGAACGAGGCAGAGAATATTACTTACACACAATAGTTCTTCGTGGAAGAAGAGGGTTTGAACTCTTCTTACAGTGCTATCAATTAATTCTCCAAAAACAAGTTCACTGGCT